TTGTGTGTATCACTTTGAAATAAAGTTGAAGACAATGAGAAATAAACCCAATACTAGTCTAACCATATGTATTAATTCACTGTATGAACAACGCAGTGGACATTAATTTAGTGAATGCTGTAGAGTTTTCTGTATCATTTGTGGAATTCTCTCCATTTGTTGAAAAGGCTTGTAACACACTGGAGTACTGACCGCAAAGTGAAAATGGGGCAAAGTGGGGATGGGGCGAAGTGGTCAGGAGTGATATGGAATTGGGGCAAAGTAAAGCACATCAAGCTAATACAGTGTCCTATGGAGTCGTCATGGGGCTTTTAATCGAACGTAATAGGCGAGTGATCTATACCTTGAACAATGCTCTTCAATCAAATTTTCTTGTGAGAGCAAACTTTAGTTACCTATTCTCATGATCCTCATGACCTCACCATGGACCTTTTAACATGCTGCAAAGGGACAAACTTACCCTTGCTGCTATTCAATAATGTACAGAAGTTCCCAGATGTGTGACTGCGAGAATAGCTCTTAAAAATGCTCATAGGAGAGCTTCAGAGCATGATACTAAGTATTAAAAGAAACCCCAAAACAGGTTTTTACTCACCAATCTCATGCTTCCACCTGATGACAACAGCACAGTTCATGCCGTTTGTGATTATCATCAGGCTGATCAATGCCTAAGCTTGCTCTGCATCTTGCTCCGACCATTTTGGAAGGAGGGAGGATTTCTAAGATCTTCCAATCTGTCACAGCTACACAGCGCAGCCCATGTTGCGCATACCAGTGATGTTCACACAATGAAACCAAGTGAAGATGCTATCTTCCTGCCTCCGGAAATGGTCGAATCAAGATGCAGAGTAAGCTTGACCATTGGTCCACCTGATACATGCGCAATGTGATGAATCAAACGGCATGAACAGTGCAATGGTTGTCGGGTTGAAGGGAGAGATTGAGTAAACATTGTTTCAGAAAATACTCGGTCTCATGGTCTGAAATGCCCGTAGGAGCATTTTTAAGAGCTGTAAGTGTACATGTACTATAGGTACATGTACCTCAAGTTTGCTCTCAAGGGAAAATTTGATTGGAAAGTGTTGTTCAAGCTGTGGATTATACATGTACATCTATCAAGTTTGATTTAAAAAAAGTGTTATGACTCCATGTAAACTGTATTGGTTTGTCCACACAGTAGTAACGGAGTAGTGACTTTTGAGTTCTCAAAGTACCGTTCTTATACATGTAGAAGGAAGAATTAGATTTAAGATTTCAGACCCACCTAATTAGAGGACAAATGACATGTTTCTGAACTGCAGGGTTAATTTTGCAGAAAGAGGGCAAGGTTTTGATTTTTGAGGAAAATTATAGTGTAAAAATGACGACGGACAATGCGTGCACGTATCCACTGAAAGTAAACACGGTAGTAATGTGAAACATGCTCGATAGATTGTCTGTGATTGGTAACTGGAAAGTTTTATGAGAAAGGTGATCTCTGATTGGTGGAGATGATCCGATAAGGGAGTGAGACTATGGAAGATAACAGGCAGACTATGCACGCATGCATCCACATGGCAATATTATCAAACCTGCTTGGTGGAGTGTCT